TGACACGGGTGCACTTACCTACATGCAGGCAATATATGCATACACATAAAAAATAAAAATAATAAATAAAATATTTTAAAAAATAAATAAATTAAAAAACATGTGAGTGTGACACTGGAAGTTTGATTTACGGATCACTAAGGGTCAGGTCCTTAAAAAGATATCCTTGGTACCCCCAGCATTTGAGATTCCAAGGCAGGAAAATTTTGAGTTCCAGGTCAGCTTGGGCTACACAACAAGCTGTAGAAGAAAAAACAGATAAAATAACAAATAAAAATCACTTTAATTTAAAATGTAATTTGTTGCCTGGTCTGGTGGTGCATGACTATAAATCCAAGCACTTGGGAGGTGAAGTTCAAAGGATCAGGAAATCAAGGAAATCCTTAGCTACATGGTGATTTCAAGGCTGGCATGGGCTACATGAGACCCTAGCTCAAAATAACACAAGAAGGAAATGAGGAGCTCGAGGACAAGACACAGCCCAGTCCAACAGAATCCCTGGAGAAGGAACCAGGGCAAGTGGGACAACAGCTGTCAGAAGAGGTTGGTGACAGCCGAAAATCTTTAGTTTCAACAGCAAACTAAAATAGGAATTTTACAAAGTAGAACAGGAAAAAGTCAAAAGTCCCTATTAGAGGGACTGGTGGTGTTGTGGGGACTGATGGAGCCATGGCTTAAGACACAGAACCTCAGAAAATTGTACTCTCAATAACAGACATGCCACAGAGCAGAAAAGAGGGAGAAACAAGTTGTAGGGCCCTGGCAGAGGGAGGAGAGGCACTGTAAAACCCTCTACTCTCGGCATTTGATGGGAGCAGCAGCAACATGACATTTGTAAAAATATTCCTGCTGAGTCAGTGGCATGGCTAATGCAGACACTGTCAACTGCACACTTGGGGAACTCAGATCAAGTGTCCTGGGATTGCACCGAAACCTGACCAGAAGACTATCTCTAGATTACAGGAAAGAGACTGTGAACCTAAAGCATGCTGTACTCAGTGTGGCGCAAACCTGGCCGCGGCCTAAGTCTGCGGGAAAACACACACACCAAGTTCCAAGCATATGCACTAGACATCAGGGAATGGGAGGTTTAATAACTCAAAAACTCCATGGAAACTCTAGGAAAATGAAGCAGCATCACTCTAATACCAAAGCCAAGTAAAGATACAACCAAAAAAGAAAACTATAGACCCACATCCTCAGTGAACATGGATGCAAAAATTCTCAACAAGATACTTGCAAACCACATACAGGAACACATTAAAAAGATCATCCACCATGATCAATTGGTCTCATTTCAGAGATGCAGGGATGGTTCAACCTACAAGTCAATAACTGTAATACATCACACAAATTTACTTGAGGATCTAAATCACACAATCATATCAACAGATGCAATAAAAAGTTTTTGACAAAAATCTCATATTCATCCATGAGAAAAGCGCAGACTTTAAGAATGGAAGGAACATAATTCAACATAATAAAGGCTACATATGACAAAACTATAGCCATTATACAAAGTGGGAAACACTGCAAGCACTTCCACTAAAATCCAGAAGAACTGGATTTCCATGGGTGCCCTCATTCTCTACTCTTATTCAACAAGCTTGAAGTCTTAGCTAAAGTAGTAAGACAAGAGAAGGTGATAAAAGGCAAACAAACGGGAAAGGAAGAAGTCAAAGCATTGTCAGCAGATGATATAATCCAGACTCTAGAGACTCCGTAGGGAAACTCTTATATCTGATAAGCACTTTCAGAAAAGTGGCAAGATACATAATTAACATTAAATACAAATAGACTTCCTGCACACAAGTAACAAACATGTTGAAAAAGGAATCAAGGGGAAAAACATTCATAACCGCCTCAAAAAAACAAAAAATAACTTGAAATAAACCTAATCATGGAAGAATAAGACATTTATAATAAAGGCTTTAAGGCACTGAAAAAGATATTGAAGAGACATCAGAAGAGAGAAAGACTTCCTATGCTCATGGGTTGGTAGGATAAAGACGTGAAAATAGCCGTCCTACCCAAAGTAATCCTGACTCAATGCAATCCTCATCAACAGTCTATTGCTAGTCTTCACACAAACACATACACATACAACAACAACAACAACAAACAAACAAACCCTAAAATCAACTTGGAAGCACAAAAGACCCCAGAGATCTAGAGCAATCCTGAGGGATGAAGAAGTAATGCTGGAGCTATCACCACCTGATTTTAAGTTACACCCCAGAGTTGTGGTAACCAAAACATCATGGTGCTGGCATGAAAACAGACATGTAGATCAATGCAGTAAAATAGAGGATCGAGATATAAACCCCAACAGCGACAGTCATCTGATTAAAATCTTTTTCATTTATATATCTTTATTTTATGTAGATGAGTGTTTTGCCTTCATGTAAGTACCTGTGTCAGGCAGTGTCCACAGAGGCAGGAAGAGGGTGTCAGATACCTTGGAACTAGACTTACTGAAGGTTGTTAGCTACGAAGCAGGTGCACGGTAACAAACCCAGGTCCTCTGCAAGACCTAAAGCCATCTCTCTATGCATCAGTTACCTGATTCTAGAAAAAGATGCTGAAAAGATACAGTGGAGCAAAAACTGCCTCTTCAAGAAATAATGCTAGGAAAACTGGATATTCACATGTAAAAGAATGAAATTAGATCCTTCCTCACCCTGCGTGAAAATCAACTCCACGTGGACCAGTGACCTCTAAAACTCCAAATCCAGTAGAGGATAAAGTAGGGAAAACACTTCAGTGTAAAGGCACAGGCGAGGACTTCTGAAAATGAGCTCAATCATTCAGGAAATAAGGCACCACTGACAGATGGGATCTGAGGAATGAAGCATTTCTGTACAGCAAAAGAAACAATCAACTAAAGAGACAGCCTACAAAATGAATGAAATCTTTCTTAGGTATATATTTACCAGAGGAATAATAGGTAAAATACACAAAGAATTAAAAATAGTAACAAATCAAGGAAGTCAGGCAATAAATGGGCTAATGAAACATGCAGTTTTCAAGAGATGAAATACAAACGGCCAGTAATCATACGAAAGAAGTTCAGCCTCACTAGCTATCAGAGAAATGCAAATCTAAAGTTAACTGAGAGTAATTCTCATCCCGGCCATTAGTAATAAGAGTCACTAAGAAAACAAGTATCAGCCAAAGCTGGCAAGAGTGAAAACATAAATTAGTTCGGCCACTATGGAGGGCCCTCTAAAAGCTAAATATATATACTGTGATATATGTACGCATACATATATATGCATATGTTTTTTCATCCAAAATGAAGACGCGTCATTTTCAGAAAAATGGGTGCAACTGGAGATAATCTGACTAAGCAAATTGAATCAGACTCAGAAAGGCAAATATCATATGTTTTCTCTCATTTGTGGTCCCCAGACTTTATATAGGTTCACAAACCCAAGACGGTACCTATGATATCACAGTACAAGTAACACTGGTAGGAAAAAAAAGGAAACTAAGCTGAAGGGTGGGAAGGAGGATGGTTATGTGTGTGGGAAAGGCTGAAATGTCTTACATACCTGTATGAAAATGTCCTGATGTACAATAACTATGCACAATGGGAAAACACATTTTCTTGAAAACTGTTATGAGACTGCCAGTCTCTGAGTCAGCTACTGGAATACAGTATGTCTAATGTTCATCTGTGTAGTATACAAACTGACTGACCTGGGAAGCTCTGACTTGAGAATGTTTCCTCCAGCATCCACGGCTCCTCTCCTTGCTCCAGCTTGAAGATCACTTCTGGCTTGGTCACACAATACCCTGTTAACAGAAATAATTAAAGACATGGGCTGGCAACATAGGTATCATGGCCTCTAACACATGAGGCCACTGAACACCTCCATAGAGAAGTGAACAAAAGTATCTTCTGGGCTGGGGAGATGGCTCAGTGGGTAGAAGCACTTGTTACACAAGTGTGAGGACCTGAGTTTCCATGTTCAGAAGCTGTAGGTGTGTGGCCTAAGTGTCTGGAATGCGAGCATCAATATGGGGGATGGGAGGCAGAGACAGGAGAATCCCTATACGCTTGCAGGCCAGCCTGGTGCACACAGGAGAGAAACAAAGAGATGCTGTCACAAACTGGGTGGAAAAGCCAGGACCAACACCCAAGGTCGTCCTCTGACTTCCATGCGCATCATGAATGTGCCATTCATCCCCCCAACCCCCACACACCGTATCTTCTGATACCCAACATTGATAAAAAATTTTCCAAATCTTATTATTATATTACGAAAAGTGCCCAGATGCCTCATAATTAAAGGGATAAACAACTGTTGGTTGGCATCACACAGTAAATAGCCTTACCCACTGAGACAAGGTGACTGTAGTTCTCCAGCATCACCTCCATGTACAGGGACCATTGGCCAGGGTCCAGATACTGCCACTCCTCCTGGGTGAAGCCCACAGTCACATCTGCAAAGGATACTACTCCCTGGGATTTTGGTTCCATCTGAAACAATTATAATTTGTTGTTATGGAAAAAGGTGTATGGGATGATTGCCTATTTTGATTACTGCTTACAGTTTACCAAGCTGGTTTAGAACATTTGCTTTATACTTCAGGGGAGGAAGGAAAATAATAACAGCAATATATTCCCATTGTACTCAGGTAAAAATTATTTTTAGCCAAATTTAACTAGGATTTAAATTTCTATGAGAATTAATGAAAGATTAAAAAGATCAAGATCAAAATAAAAATGAAACCCATTAGAAATAGTTAAATGTGTAGAAATGTGTAAAAACAGCACACACTTTCCGCACCATTGTTGATCAGAAGAGAAAATACCTCTGCAAGTATTTGGACAGCATGTGTAATAGAACAGAGGTGGGAACTTAAATTTTCTCAGAAATGGTCAGATGCTAATCAATCAGTCATGACACTATAGCATAGATAACATTCACTGAGATTTAATTATACAGTAATTTTTGGCTGGAAGCGCTTTTCCCCTCGTGTTCCTGGTACCCAGCCTCACTTGCTCCCACATATGTAGGAATGCATAAAAAACGAGAAGCTGAGATCCTGAGGCTGAGTTACCTCACTTAGTGTTATACTTTCTAATTCCTTCCATTTTCCTAAAAAGGATTAGTGCTTGGATTATTCACATGAAGTAATGCTTAGAAATGTCCACCGTACATGTACAGACTAAAGGGGCTTTAATATTAACTCATCTTCAACCACAAAAAAGACCAAGATAGTCAATAATCAAAGATAACAGAAGAGCAATAATAACGAAACTTATACACAATGAAGGTCAAAGAAATGAAAACTGGGTTCCTTGAAAGACCACTACTATGTATATATGATTCAATTAATGTTAAAAAGAAATGCAAATGTGTGGCAGCACACAGGTCTGTGATGCGATCATTTGGGAGGCTGAAGCAAGAGACTTATGAGAAAAAGGCCAGCATGGGTTACACAGAGACCTAAGAACACAGGATGGCCAAAACAATACTGATCAATAAAGAATGGCTGGAGGTATCGCCATCTGTGTTTTAAAGTTACATTGCAAAGCTATAGCAATAAAAACAGCATGGTACCAGCATAAAAACAGTCACAGTAATTAATGGAATAGAATTGAGGACATGGATATAAGTCCACACATCTACAGTCACCTGATTTTTTTTGATAATGAGGCCATAAATGCACATTGGAGAAATGGCAGTATCAACAAATAGTGCTGGTCAAACTTGACAGCCACAGGTGGGAGAATGAAACTAGATACTTAACTCTCACCCAGCACAAAACTGCGTGGATCAAGGACCTCAACATACAACCTGATACCCTGAGTCTGACGGAGGGGAAAGTAGGGAATATTTTGAACTTTTTTGGCAAAGAAAAGGACTTTCTGAAGAGGACCCCAATCACTAAGGCATTAAGAACAAGAGCTGATAAATGGGACCACATGAAACTAAAAATCTTCTGCATAGCAAAAGACACCATTGCTTGAGTGAAAAAGCAGCCTATAGAACAGGAAAAAAAAAATCTTTATAAGCCATACATCTGATAGAGGGTTAGTATCTAGATTATGGAAAGAACCAAAGAAACTAAACATCAAGAAAACAACCCAATTTAAAAATGGGGCATTTATTTTGAGATGTGATCATACTTTATAGCTCTGGCTGGCCTTGAACTCCCTATCTTCTGTCTTAACTTCCTGAGTATTAAAATTATGGGTGGATACCACCATGCTGGGCTACTGTGGTAGGAATCCTCCAGAACAAAGAAGGAATACAGCGTGGTCTGTGACTGAGTACACATTCACAGTTCTGCTGTCATGACCTTGTAGCACAGAGCACCCAATCAAGATCTGTGCTACCAAATATGGAAGACAAAGAAACTGAACTATAAAGGGAAACTAACAGAGGGGTTAAAACCTGGGTCTTTATTCCAGGTATTCTCCGTACAAAACCACAGAGCCAGGTGCTAGCACAATATGCTGCTTCCTGGAGAAGAGAAATGCCTTGGTGTCTCATCTCTGCATACAGCACCTGTAACACTGCTTTACATATTTTTAAAGTACGCACAATAATACACAGGATTGTTCGACTAGCTACTTATGTTTTTTAAAAAAATATTTTATTTTTATTTTATGCACATGCATGTATTGCCTGCATATAGGTAAGTGCACCCTTACTGTGTAATGCTCATGGAGGACAGAAGAGGCTGTCGGATCCCCTGGAACTGGAGTTACAGACAGTTGTTAGCTGCCATGTGGGTGCTGGGATTCGAACCCAAGTCTTCTGCAAGAATAGCCTTACGCTTTTAATGTAAATGTACAGGTAAACCAAGACAACTAGACAAAGGATGGAAACTTGGAACTGAACTATGAGATAAGAGGCGGATGCCAAGACAGAGCCAATATGGTTAACAACGTCCAAGTTGAAGGAATTCAACTACAATTTAGTCATTGGGGCATTACTTAAATAGATTCCAAACAAGGGAAGGTATGAAACTTGACTAAGAAGCTTAAAACTATTTACCAGACAAGTTAGCTTTTTACTGTGGGCTGTGCAACACGTACACGTGCCCTGACTAAGATGAAATGGTCATGGAGAGTTCTGTTACAGCACGCCAGCCGCAACTTCTCTAAAAACACCAATACCTGGACACCTGTTGAACCTCGTATTGAATCTGTGGGAATGGCTTTCATACATGGACATAGTCTGGACTAATGACTCTTAATTAACCCCAGCAAAACCATGTGCTCTTGTGTCTTGTAACCTTGTCACCTGATCTCCTTTCTTAGGTAACCCTCAATTTGGTATTCTACCCAAAAAATAAGGAATGAAAGCTGGGTGTGGTGGGCCACACCTTTAATCCCAGCATTTGGGAAGCAGAGGCAGGCGAATATCTGAGAGTTCAAGGCCAGCCTGGTCTACATGGCTACATGGAGACCTGTCTCAAAAATACAAAAATAAATAAGGAATGAATGAATGAGGGTATACTTGAGAATTAGTATATCAAAGCGCTGAAAGGCTGTGCCCCATCTCTACTGGAGACTGGAGATTGGGAAGGAAGATTGACCTTGGATGAATGAGATATTGTAGAACTAGATATGAAAAGGCTGGATGGTCTGTAAGATTAGGGTGGAGCCAAGCTTGTAAGTCCCCAATTGAAGCCGGAGAAAGCATTTTGAACAAAATTTTGGGTTGGGCCATAGTCTGGACACAGTTCCAACAAAACAGTTTCAACAGCACTGTTCCGGAGACAGACGGTTCTAAGAGCTATCCAGAGAAATAAGTGTCTTCCAAGTTTGGGCCTACTCTTAAAAACTAAAAGAATTAGGTTATTTGTTCAGGTAATTAAAATGTCGACATAGTAACTAGAACAGAACATTTTTGCTCCCATTGAGAAACAGTTTTAAGGCAATGAGCTACATTTATTTCAGGGGTACCAGTGGAAGGTTATTCATTGTATGATTTGATCAAGGTGTCTTACAGAAAGTCTTTGGCTGAGCAAGAATCAAGGTCCATATCCAAAACACGGTGCCATGTTTATTGAAAACATCAGGTGCTTGTTTTCAGCTCATGCCAATGACTAAGGAAACAGCATCTGTATATATCAAAGTGTAGGCCTGGCCCGGCTACTGAGCTGCTGCTTCATATTTTCTGTGAAGTTTGATATTTATCTATGACTAACCTCATATTTTAATGTACCAATTCTCACAAAATCCACTGTAACAGAAAGTGGGAGATTTTGAATAAAGGAATAACTTGCTTTGTTTGTTTTGTGCTGTTCTTGAAACAATGTTCAAAACTCTGAAGATACAGCTGGGTTAGAAGAAAATCGAAGTCATGAAAGATCTTGGTCCCTAGCAGCCCAATTTTTCTACCTTAAAAAGCTACAGATGTCCACTAGATAAATGTTCAGTGGGAAGATGATAATGTTGCTTGACACTCCAGAAAAATCAGGAAGAAACATTCTGGAAGATTTCCCAATGATACTCTAACACAATCATGTAGCTCTTGAGCAAAAAGTTTTCCCCTGGGTAAATTGTAAACACATTCTCGGGATTTTAACAACTGGAACCGCTCTACTTTTTACAAAATCTATAAAGCAACATTGGTTAACAAATTAACAATACATCTAGTGAAGGAACATAAAAATTCACAAAAATTGTTATTTAAAGCTCTTACCTAGCATGCTGGATGCCCTGGGGTCAATTCCCAGGATCACCAAGAAGTAAGAAATAGTCTGTGCTAAACTGTCAATTTCCCTATTATTACTTACCCTTGGGTTAGTGACTGAAGTGAAAGCCATAAAAAGCAGTTCTTCAAGGAAAAAGAATCCGTTTAAATTTGTTTTAACTTTACTCTCAAAAAGATGCTTTACAAGAAATGCTTTCAATTAACAGTCAAAGTGGGGTAGCAGCCTGGGAGTCAGGTATTCTGAATCTTGGTCTTCACCTACAAACTGCGATCATGGAAAAGTCACTAGGCTTCAGAAACAGATTTTTTTTTTTCTTCTGCCAAATGAAAGTTGACAGTTCCTGAAGATCCTGAACGCTGCAGGGAGACAGGCAGCCGGACAGCACGCATCAGGATGCAGTGGGAAACATGCCTGGAGGGCCCTCCGGGCTCTGGGAAGATCTAAAGGAGAGCCCGGGGGACGGTCTGCAGGGCGGATGGTCTGAAGTAGGTGTGGCTGGCAAGCCCGCTGCACCCCCGAGCCTGGGCATCCCGGGCACAGGCAGCTCCACCTCCCGGCAGCGCCGGACCACCCGGGAGCGCCTCACAGGCTCTCACGTGCGTCCACGTCCTCCAGACAGGGCTGCAGATCCCCGGGTGCGGACACCACCTTCCAGCAGTCGCCACCCAGTCCGACGGGTCCTCCCCACCGCCGCCCCCAGCAGCGCGGGATTCCCTCCGCCCTCACCCGGCGCCGCGGAACCTCCGCTTCCCAGTCCTGCGGCGCCGACCCCAGAAGAGCGGAGGACTGCAATTCACGTCCCACCGGAGGGAAACGGAAGTCAGGCTGCAGGAGACATGCGCAGAATCCGCGGCTGGGTTGGTGGCCTCCGCCAGAAACCCGAAACTACCTTTCCCGTGAGGCCTGGCGACCGGTATTTTAGGATGAAAGAAGGGGGCTTTCAGCCTGGGTGTCTAAGGAAGGTGTTGTTAGCTGGGTGAACGCGCATACCTGGTTCCTCCCGCAGCACCCCCCGAGTGGTAGCGTGCAGAAGATTTTGTGCACTTGACCAAGGTGGAATTTAGAGGCAGAACTGTTACGGGAAGGAAAGCTGCATGTAAATTTCATTTCTAAACACTTAGAGGAGAGGCTAAGGAGATGGCTCCCTAGGTAAAGTACTTGCAATACTAATCTCATTGTTGGGAGGCAGAGGCAGGAGGAAGTCAGAGGCTCACTGGCCAGCCAGTCCAATGGTCAGATTAGGTGAGAGACCTTGTCTCAAGAAATAATGTTGAAAGCAATGGAGGAAATTTCCGAGGGCCTCCCCACTGTTGTGAGCACTGCACAGGCACATACATGCACATGCACACATTACACTATATATAAATACACAGGAGGAAAATAGATACTTGAATAGATACTTATATAGATCTCATCCATACAATGCAAGATTGGGGGGGGGTGAATTCAAGTCCTCAGACATTCTGTGAAAATGCTCCATTACTGAGCTGCATGCCCTACTGTATTTGTTTATTATTATCATCATTATTAGGTTCGATAGTATTTACAAAAAAACTGCCCCATACAGAAGTATGCAAAGGATGAAAAAAACTTAACCCAAAATTCACATTTC